CACAGGGAAAGCTGAATCGATTTGTAAATTAATTCATAACATATCGATGTGCGGATTTTCTCAGACATTTTCCGCTTTCTGTCAAAAATCAAAATCAAGTAATGATCAGTTTATTGTACCAGAGTCATTTTTTTTATTCTCAAGGCACAGCCAATGCTGGAAAGGATGCATTTGTTGCCTACATTTATTTCACTAGTGATAGAGTAGCACAAGCAATCACTGCCTCAAGGAAAAAATACAACGTAGTTACATAAAGTATGCACATCCAGTTCAGTGGCTGGATGACTGGCTCACAATGTAAAGTGACATTAATAGTGTGAGTTCAATTCCTGCATACGCTGAGGTTACGATAAACTTCTGCCGTCTCAATTTCACACCTTATCTGAGGTGTGGTGACCCTCTGGTTAAACTTAGCACCAGTTACCTCTCTCTGATGAGGCTGTAGGACTGTGGTGTTTTTATTAAGCATCATAGAGTCATAGAGATGTACAGCACAGAAATAGACCCTTTGGTCCAACTCGTCCAAGCCAACCAGATATTCTAAATTAATCTAGGCCCATTTGCCAGCATTTGGGCCCATATCCCTCTAAACCTTTCCTATTCATGTATCCATCCAGATGCCTTTTAAATGTTGTTATTGTAGCCAAATCTACCACTTCTTCTGGCAGCTCATTTCATACACACACCACCTTTTGTGTGAAAATATTGCCTCTTAGGTCCCTTTTATATCTTTCCCCACTCCCCTTAAACCTATGTCCTCTAGTTTTGGACTCCCCTACCCTGGGGAAAAAAACCTTGGTTATTCACCATATCCATGCCCCTCATGATTTTATAAACCTCTATAAGGTCACCCCTCAACCTCTGACACTCCAGGGAAAATAGCCCCAGACTAGTCAGCTTCTCCCTATAGCTCAAACCCTGGCAGCATCCCCCTGTAAATCTTTTCTGTGCCCTTTCACGTTTAACTACAACTTTCCAGTAGCAGGGAGACCGGAATTGAATGCAATATTCCAAAAGTGGCATAAGCAATGTCCTGTACAGCCGCAACATGATATCCCAACCGTGATACTCAATGCATTGACCGATAAAGGCAAGCATGCCAAATGCTTTCTGCACTACCCAATCCACCTGTGACTCCACTATCAAAGAACTATGAACCTGCACTCTAAGGTCTCTTTGTTCCCCAGGACCTTACCGTTAAGTGTATAAGTCCTGACCAGCCAGCCAAATTGGTTTATTCTCCATAAAGGGCTCCTCATCTACCTTTCCAACCAACCCTAACAGCAAATTTATCTCCTTGCTGAGCTTATCCTCCCCTTAACTTCACTAAACTATTCTTCCTGGTAATAGGTGTCACATTCTCACTGGTCTTTGATTAACGAAACTTTTCTTGAATTCTGTGTTTGATTTAGCAAATTTATAGCTTCTCGTTTCAGACGCACACAGAAACGATTCCTCAATGTCTACCCTTCAAACATTTCTATAGCTTTAGAACCATTTATAAGGTCACCCGGAGGTCACCTCTTTTCTTGGGAGAAAACAGCCCCAGTTTTTCAAACTTTTCTGGAAAGTATATTCTCTCAGTTTCTCTCAGAGCCTTGTAAATCTTCTTTTTACCTTCTCCTGAGTCTCTATATCCTTTTTATAATATGCAGAAATACGTACCGTGCTCCTATGCAAAACTTGCTTCCATTTATTAACTTGCATGATAATTATTACATTTCCATTCCTCTGAGTATAGATTGTTATGATCAGGTGAAGAAGGGGAATCATCTCTACTCTTTTTATCCCTTCACAACAAATATTTTTATTAATTTTTAGTACACAGCTATCCCAACTCTCTGGCGATAGTGCACTATAAGTCAACCCCACTGATCTGGGTCATCACAAAAGGTTAAAAATGCATTCATACTATCTAAGATCCCCAGTTTACCAGCTGGGTGAACTCAGGCTAAAATGAAACACTCACCAGGTTTCTGTACTTAGCAAAGAAATCAGTTATTTATTGCAACTGAATTGTTTTTAACCAATGTTTTGCTAACTTATAACTCTCGATACCTTAAACTCTACCCCTTTTAAATCCCCCCTTTCATGTACAGACACACACAAAGATTAATAAGACATGGATATTAAGATGGAAAAAAGAAATTGGGGAAACATAGTTCGATGGCACCAGTCAGGAGCACAGGAGTTAGTAAGTTCTGATGAAGTCACTGAATTTGAAACATTAACTCTTCTTTCTTCCCATAGATGCTGCCAGACCTGCTGAGTTTCACCAGTAATTTCTGTTTTTCTTTCAAATCTCCAGCATCTGCAGTTCTTTGTTTTATTTTATTATATATAGTATTCACTAAGGTGTTGTCTTTCAGTTTTTTTTCCAATTCCTTCGCCGATGAGACGAATTTGATGCATACTGATGCTGTCTTTCATTCACTGATTCTGTGTCTCTGAAGGTGAGTTTCCCTTTTTTCTTTCAACAAGGTAATTGGCATGAGAGAGTAGTTTGCAGAGGAAGTAGTAAGAAAGAACAGTTATCAGGAGACTTTTTGTTGCTACTCTTCACAAGAGGCCTACATGTGACTCCAGTCCCACAGCAATGTGCTGACTCTTAACTGTCTTCGGGTCAATAAATGTTGTGCTAGCCAGTGATACTCACATCCTGTAAACTGATTTTAAGAAATGCAATTATCAAAACCAAAGTGAAAGAGCCAAATTACAAAACTTATTGAAAGAGAAATCTTATTGCCTCCCAACTGGAAAAGAACAATAAATCTTTGACTTCAAGCACACACATAAACAAAGGTAATAAGTTTAAACAGAAGGAGGGAAGGCTGTCTATTGTAGGCAGTAATGTAAAAGCAATTGCAATAAACACAGAGAATGGTGGAGAATCTGAGCAGGTTTGGCAGCATTGGTGGAGAGAGAGTTAACATATTTTTTCCACCGTGGAGGGAGTTCAAAACTAGAGAAAATAGGCTTAATTTGAGAGGGGAAAGATTTAAACTGGACCTTACGGGAACTTTTTCACACGAGGGTGGTGCATGTATGGAATGAACTGCCAGAGGAAGTGGTGGAAGCTGGTACAATTACAACTTTTAAAAGGCATCTGGATGGGTTTATGAATAGGAAGGGTTTAGAGGGATATGGGACAAATGCTGGCAAATGGGAGTAGATTAATTTAAAATATCTGGTCAGCATGGAGAAGTTGGACAGAAAGGTCTGTTTCCGTTCTGTACATCTCTTTGACTCTACGTTCTATGAGTCTGAGTCTGAGTCAAAACTGGAATATTGTGTTTTTCAAGTAAAGGTCAGAAGGACAGTCATATTGGACTCAAAACGCTAACTGTTTCTCTCTCCACAGATGCTGCCAGACCTGCTGAATTCCTCCAGCACTCTCTGCATTTGTCTCAGACTTCCAGCATCTGCAGTATTTTGCTTTTATTAAAGCCAAATGCTGTTTAAATTTCTTAGCATCCCTGAGTTGTGAGAAGAATCTGAGTCTTGGCTGTTTAGCTTGTGTCTTGTTTCTTCAGCAGTGGCAACGTTTGCAGATATCTTTGAATTCTAAGTGAATGGTTGCTCTCCCAAGTTGCTTTCCAACTGGGCACTGATTTCCAGGTTGAGTGAGACCGGAAGAGAGAGGCTTCCAGTTATTATCAATATGCATTTATTTTATTCTCTCTGTTGTACTGCTGTAAAGCTATTGCCTGAAATGAGCCATTTTAGGTCAGTATTTGTTCTTATTAAAAATTACTTCTGAAGTATAAAATCAGATGGTGGACGTTGAATATCGATAGTCCATGTTTACCCATTATCGTAACAAAGTGCAGGGTGAATCACATTCTCTCACAATTTATTTCTCTTTCAGGTATCAGCTCAGTCAAGTTTCTTTATATCTGTGCATCATAACACACACTCAAGATTTACAACTCAATATTTTATTTTCATACCAACCTATGTTTTTAAGAGAGTTTAATTGATTCAACACTGAATCTGTTTCACAAACACACTGTACAAACCATGTTAAAATTAATGATCATATTCTTTAGTTCTGTCTTTATGAAGCAGGCTAAATACTTTGTTGGCATCAACTGTAACCAGTTTTTTTTTTTAAGGACCTGCATTGTGTTTCTTTCAGCCATGTGTTAATGGTCATTTAGGAACACTAAGTTCTGAAATTACTTTTGTCTCTCTTTAATCAATATTTTGATCCTAAATGATGTCCTTACTGGACAAGTCAGATCCTAGACTGAAATCTGGCGTGATATATCATTGCTTTTTTTATTTTAGTTTTAAGGGGGTGTTCTGGCACTGAGACAGAAGCATGCAAAGTAACAGATTTTGCTTTCAAAATAAAGGTTATTAAGCAAAAGAACTCATTAAAATAAGTTATAAATTAGTTTGAGATAATGAGGTGTAGAGCTGGATGAACACAGCAGGCTAAGCAGCATCAGAGGAGCAGGAAGGCTGACGTTTTGGGCCTGGACCCTTCTTCAGAAA